GCTAGTTTGGCAGAAGCTGGGACAGAGCAACAGGAGCTCACTCCATTGCACAGATTCGAACCGCCGACCATCTGATCAGCATGCCCAAGGAGCTCAGTGTTTTAGACCACAGTGCCACCTGCATCCCTAAAACAGAGACAGGCTACCCTATTCTCCAAATGTTGCTGGATTAACAGTTTCATCATCCCTGATCTTTGTCCCTGCCGGCTGGCACTGATGGCAGTTGTAGTTTAACAGCATCTGGCATGTACCATGTTGGGTTCTCCTCCACTAAATCGCAGAATGGCCTAGGTTTTCACCCTAAAGTCCAAAAATCAGAGACTGGCATCTTAGCAATTGCTTGACACTGTTTTATTTGAAGAAAGCACATAAAACATAGGAATCCTTTATCTTGAAGATTACAGATTACAGACAAATAATTCTAGTACTACACTTTGCTCCAGAGGAGTAGCTTTAGCAGTAGGCCGGCCAATCAATTCTATTGCCGCTTTGCTATTGCCCCAAGGAGGTATCTATTCCGTACACATTGCCTGCTTATCCTTGGTAAGGAAAGCGGTTGACAGCTTAATCACTTTATAAAGCTGCCTTGGAGCAAAATATGTCTATATGAATGAATGTTTCAGTTTTGCCTGAATCCACAGAAGTCCAACACCTTAGAAGAGAAATGCATGCTAAGGATCTCATAAAGTACAATGCTTAGGGGGTAGTTATGCAATATGCTCCCCTCTGCTTGATCAGCAGGCAGAAGTATTGCGTGACAGCTGCATTTCTTTCAGGAGGAAGACTACTCATGGGAAGTGCAGGCGAAAGCTCTATTTACCCCGCTGATGCTGCTCTTGGAATGTACTTTCAAGAATGGGAGAAAACCCATAAAATGCATAGCACAGGCTCACATCAGTGCCTAGGTACTCCCATGACTCCCCTGCAAAAACCTGTGACGGCATCTTGAGATCAACTATTCTGTGAGATAGATAAACTGGGAGACCACATATTCTGGGAAGTGAGCATGTGTGTGTGTGTGTGTGTGTGTGTGTGTGTGTGTGTGTAAAATTTAGCTTTTAGTCCTGTTATGCTTGTACATGTTATTTCATAGTTATATTTTCCATTGTCGCATTTCAGAAATCCGTACTGTGAAAGCTGCCTTAAGGGCATGCTTTGCTTGAAAAGTTGGCAGACAAATATTTCAAACAAAGAAAAAGCAAACAAACGTGGGCAACATACAAGACCCACTCTAACCTATCTAAAAGGTAAAGGTAAAGGACCCTGGTCAAAGGCAACTATGGGGTTACAGCACTCACCTCGCTTTCAAGCCAAGGGAGCCGGTGTTTGGCCACAGACAGGTTTCGGGGTCATATGGCCAGCATGACTAAACCGCTTCTGACACAATGGGTCACTGTGACGGAAACCAGAGCACATGGGAACACTGTTTACCTTCCCATTGCAGCAGTACCTACTTATCTGCTTGCACTGGTGTGCTTTTGAACTGTTCACAGGAGCTGGGACAGAGCAACAGGAGCTCACCCCGTCGCGGGGATTTGAACCTCTGACCTTCTAATCAGCAAGCCCAAGAGACTAGGTGGTTTAGATCACAGAGCCACTCACGTCTAACCTATCTACTGTACTTTGGGAGAGCTAAGGGCAGTGGCAAGACACTGGTGCAAGAAGTGACTGGACCCAGTGCAGAATTCTAGTCTGATAAACTTCTGACATAATGAATAGCCTGATATAATGAGGTCACTCAGATAGAAGCTGGTTCATTCAACTTATTTCCAATGTGGTGTGTGTGTGTGTGGGGGGATATCTATCCAAAGGTGGATAATGCAGTGCCACCCTACCAACACTGATGAAGTTGCCTACCTTGATGGGTTGAGACCATGTGGCAATGAAGTCAGGGCCACACAGCTGCACCAGTAGGAGCACCACTGTCAATCCAGTGCTCTCAAGCAGCCTCAAGCTTGACACTCCACACAGGCAAGCAGCAGTGAGGATGGCATCATGAGACGACTCTGCAGTTTTACCACACCACATACACCTAAACTGCATCTATGATCTTTTAGCAGCTCCGAGGATGCTGCTGCATGCAGCTTCTACATAGTGAGTGTAACATGTAGACCCTCCAAAATATTCAGAGGATTGCCTTTGAAGATTTGTGAAATTTTCATAATAATGATGTTCAGAGTCTACTGAGGTTGTATAAACATGCTGTCCAACATCTGTGGAGAAGAGCTGGTAAGTCTTATGGAAATGGGAACCTCAGAAAATTTGCCTTCCTGCCATTGTCCACCTCACCTGCTTTCCCTTTCCGGCCAGTGACAACAACCTTCCGAAACACAATTGTGGCAGGATTGTGTGCAATCAAAGAAAACAAGACCTTCCACAGCACGTACCTGCTTCTTTCTAACAGAATCATGCTCAGGTATGCTTATACTTGTCCTTATTTATAATTTTAGAAAACATGAAACACACAGGTTTATGAACCAAATGACCAGCAAATTTTATTTATATTCTATTTCCCCCCACTCGCTACAAATCTAGGGCACCAGCAGCTAAATATATAACATCACAACAGCCTAGGTCCACATTTTACATTGTTCTACAAAGTTCCCATTGGTCACAAGTTTTATCATTCCAATAAAGCACTCTGAAATGTTATAGAAACTGAAGACTCTCAGTTTTCCATATGTGACTGGATCAGTCACTGAAACACCTCTACATGGAAAAACCAACTGATTCTGTTTTCAATATTCCTTGCTTTCTGTTGGACTGCTAGATGTCTCAGAACCAAACAAAATAGCATAAACTGCTGGATTATTATTGAGAAAATGACAAATAATCACTCTATACCCTCATCCCATGACAAAGTACTGATGTGTTACCCCCATTAAGATTGCACTGAGTGAAATGATTTTCCACGTTCAAATTGTAAGTTATGGAAACATAGCTAAACAAAATTCAATGTCATATCAATTATATCGGTTCACTGTGCTACAGAGAGTATGATCGCTCTGCTGCCATGAAAGTGTCACAGAATATTACATGGATGAAGCCGTTGGGGGAGTAAAATTTTCCTTACGACACAAGCACAAGTAAACAGGAGACATTAAAGCAAGCCATCGTATGTTTCATTATTCAAAGATCAGACATTATCCTTTAAAAGCAGAGGATGGATGTTTCTCCAGTTATCAACCTTTTGCATTTGTCCCTTCATGCACTAAGGCTATATCAACAACAATTTTTCAAAGTTCATGGGTTAAACAAGAAACCAACTTTAAACAGTGACTATCCAAGCAAAGGGTCTTCATTTCAAAATAATAAAGGAGATAGCTATTATGGTCCCTTCCTTGTGAAGGTTTGAGAGTTGAGCATCGTTCCCAAGGAAGATATTCCAAAGCATTGGGAAAGAATATGTTAGCAAGAGGGCGACAGATTACTTTTTCTAACACATGAGGTCTCAAAGCCTGAGCTTTTGTTTGCTTCACACTCACAGCTTTTCAACCCTGTTTTGTTTATCACTTGAAGCCTGGGGTTCCTCATATGGAAATTCCCAAAGAAAGAAAGAAACAGAATGAGCATTTATTAGGAGAGGAAACATTGCCTAGCACAGCAAACGTGCCTATCAACCCATCTATGCCTTTATTTATTTATTTCCCCTTTCTAGTGCATTACCTGAAGCAAAAGCAGTTTCCACTTGGAAGCTAAATTGAAAATGACCTTGTGCTTTTTTTGCTTTTTTTACAAAAAGAGAAGGCGGCTGGCAGCTGAGGTCACTGGAGTATAGTGTGATCGACAGTGCAAGTCTTCCTATAGTTTGCAGGCATGTCTGGCAAAAGGAATTATACTGTAAAGAACCTTCTGTCATTTGCTTTGAAAGCAACATTTAAAAAAAAATCTAATCTAGCACAACTCTGGTTTTGCAGGAGCTTTTAGGAACTGTCTTTCACCCTCCTGTTCTTTTCCTCAAACTAATACACATTAAGCAATACTAACCATCTTTTCCTAGCAGGTAGCTCCCAGCTGCAAAATATTGTTTTTCCACATAAAGGAAAAGGGACCCCTGACCATTAGGTCCAGTCGTAGCCGACTCTGGGGTTGCGGCGCTCATCTCGCTTTATTGGCCGAGGCGGCCGGTGTACAGCTTCCGGGTCATGTGGCCAGCATGACTAAGCTGCTTCTGGCAAACCAAAGCAGCGCACGGAAACACCATTTACCTTCCCACCGGAGTGGTACCTATTTATCTACTTGCACTTTGACGTGCTTTCGAACTGCTAGGTTGGCAGGAGTAGGGACCGAACAACGGGAGCTCACCCCATCGCGGGGATTCGAACCGCCGACCTTCTGATTGGCAAGTCCTAGGCTCTGTGGTTTAACCCACAGGGCCACCCGCGTCCCTGTTTTTCCACATATCTCTATTCTATTTTATTTGGGGGGGGGACCTAAACACACAACCAAAACCAAAAGAAAAACCTGATACTCATCAAGATGTGGCCAAATTGCTGAGGTCAAACACAATGGAGTTTTAAAAAGAAAAGTGATTTTTCCATTAGCCATCTTTAAAAGATGAAGCCAGTTTCAAATGCTGTTCTACTGCAGGGAAATCATTAAGCTAGTTTAATGGCAATTAAAGAGAAAAAAAGAAAGAAAGAGAGTTTGCTATCGTTCTTTTCCTTAATGAGCATGCTAACTATCACAGCCATAGGAGGTTAGCCAATAAACAGGAGCTGCTTCTAGAACAGTCATTTTCCACTCCATTGTTGTGATTGACAGGGACTTATTTTTAACTTCTAGGTTTCACAGGCAAAGCTTAGGTGCGGAAAAAATAAAACCAACGTTTCAAAGTAGGTGGGAAAAAATACTGTGTGTGTGTGTGTGTCTGTGTGTGTGTCTGTGTGTTTTAAGGGAAAGAGTGACTTCTGTGTTTGAAAGTGTCCTATATAGAGATGAAAACACATCTTGTCACTTCTGAAGTATATTTAGAGAAGTTAAAAATAGTGCAAACCTACCATTGAAGTTCACCGCCCGGATGTAACTAAGCAGCTCTTTGCCATCGACGGTGCTCATGCGTGGACACAGGCCAATATATCCAGGACAAATATCTTTATGCATGTTGTGCAGTGCATACGCCATAGAGTACACAGCATCAATGACAAACTGGACCTTTCCTTCTTGTTCGTAGGAAGAGTCCCTTGCAATTCGTTCCAATCCTGCAGGGGGGAAAGGAAGCAAACAAACCAGATGATTAATGTGCTTTATTTTATAGCTTCTGCAAAGTTACTTAAAGGTAAAGGTAAAGGGACCCCTGACCATTAGGTCCAGTGATGGCCGACTCTGGGGTTGAGGCGCTCATCTCACTATATTGGCGTACAGCTTCCAGGTCATGTGGCCAGCATGACTAAGCCGCTTCTGGCAAACCAGAGCAGCACACGGAAATGCCGTTTACGTTCCCGCCAGAGCGGTACCTATTTATCTACTTGTACTTTGACGTGTTTTCGAACTGCTAGGTTGGTAGGAGCAGGGACAAAGCAACGAGAGCTCACCTGGTCACGGGGATTCGAACCGCCGACCTTCTGATCGGCAAGTCCTAGGCTCTGTGGTTTAACCCACAGCGCCACCCGTGTCCCACAAAGTTCCTTACATGCACCTAAAAAAAATGTGTGTATACCGTATATATTTAATTCACTTCATTATTTAATTCACATTTCCGAGCAAAATTCAGAGTGTTGGTGCTGACCTTTAAAGCCCTAAATGGCCTTGGCCCAGAATACCTGAAGGAGCATCTCCACCCCCACCGTTCAGCCCAGACACTGAGGTCCAGCTCCAAGGGCCTTCTGGCGGTTCCCTCACTGTGAGAAGTGAGGTTACAGGGAACCAGGCAGAGGGCCTTCTTGGTAGTGGTGCCCGCGCTGTGGAATGCCCTCCCATCAGATGTCAAGGAAATAAACAACTATCTGACTTTCAGAAGACATCTGAAGGCAGCCCTGTTTAGGAACGTTTTTAATGTTTGACGTTTTATTGTGCTTTTAATATTCTGTTGGGAGCTGCCCAGCCTGGCCGGGGAAACCCAGCCAGATGGGTGGCGTATAAATAATAAATCATCATCATCATCATCATTTTTTATTTGCATGGCGCCTTTCCACAGTTAAAACAATGCTCAAGGCGTCTTACAATATGAAAAGACTGACATAATTACAAACATAGCAAAGTAGTCAAAAATAAACAAAACACATCAAAAACTACATGACCGAAGTGAACAATTTCCACAGAAAAATAAAGATACAAAAAGTTAATACAGTGGTATGTTGGGTTAAGTACTTAATTAGTTCCGGAGGTCTGTACTTAACCTGAAACTGTTCTTAACCTGAAGCACCACTTTAGCTAAAATGGGGGCTGCCGCTGCTGCCGCACCACCAGAGCACGATTTCTGTTCTCATTCTGAAGCAAAGTTTTTAACCTGAAGCAATATTTCTGGGTTAGCAGAGTCTGTAACCTGAAGCGTATGTAACCCAAGGTACCACTGTATCAGTAATATCAGTTAATATCAGTAACAACAGCAATCACTCCCAACAAAACTTCCCTCAAAGGACCCCAGTCCTCGCTGGGCAGCAGCCATCCTTATGATGCTTGTCAGGTCCCACCCTGAGCCAGGCAGAGAGTGGCATGAACAGGGCCCTCAGGCCCTTGTTATTGGTATTGCTATTATTACTAAGAATATTTATACAAGAAGCTCTCAAAAGATCTGGACAATGCAGCCACATTCAAAAACATTTACATGGGTAAGTGGAAATAACATTGGTTTGCCTCGTTTTTGGACTTCCCTCCTATTGTCAGACAAGCACAACCACAGAGGATATCTGGAACGAGCGGACCTCGTTTGGTCTATGGTACAGCCAAGTCTTCCATAGATGGCAGTTGCTAAGCAACAGCCTCTCACAATGGACCTCTGCATCAAGAGAGTGGGGCAGATTACCTGGATCCTGCTCACACCATGATGGAAGCAGGTTTTGGGGGCTTTTGGGGTTTTTTTTTGACAAACGTGATTGCAAAATTTAAAACTATTGCCAAACATAAGTTTTTGTCTTCTAAGACTAGATACACACTGCCAGCCAAAACAAGGCCCCCCCCTTTTTTACCCACAAAAATAAACTACATAAGACAGAAATATGACCCTCTCCAGTTATTGTACACTGAGCCACCCTTATAAACTCATTCTGGGATGGTAAATAATGAGAACATTTCAAGGAGGAGTGCCTAGCTACATAGACTGTTTCCAAAGCCTCTGTTTTCAGCTTAGTGACTCTCACTGAACAGCTGGCTAAAGTTATTTATAGGATATTTTTACAGCGTTCTGTCAGTCTGTTTTAAATGAAATGGAGAGAATACCTTTATTTTTTTTCCCCTACATCTATTGTCTGATAAACATAACATGCTGGAAGGAAACTGTATTTCGTGCCAAGAGGTGCCACCATCTTTCACTGTGTTTAAGGCTGCCTTATGCTTCACTATTTTTAAACAGGAGCAGCAAAAGCATGGCAGACAGAAAACCGAGGTCAACACATAACCTATTTCAGTTTTTAGGGAGAATGTGAAGTTGCCAACATTCAGATTCAGCTGTCTTGGCAGAGCGTAAATTTTGTTTTTTGTTATTGTTATTGTTTGTTTGTTTTTTGTTATTGAGAAACCCTTGCATTATTTTTTTTTAAGCAAACCCATTAGATACTGACAAATATTGTGGGTTGCATCCAATTAAATCTTTTCATACATTGTGGTCTTGTTGAGAACCGCCATGAGACCTCCTGGTATAGGGTATATAAGTTGAAATAATAATAATAATAATAATAATAATAATAATAATAATAATAATAATAATAATAATAATAATAATATGTTCACTTCAATAGTTCTACTCTGAGTAGAAGCCAACTGCCCAAGGAAGAAGCCAACACATCACATATTACTTAACACAAAAAGTCACAATATATCTAATTCTTAAATCACTTGTATTCTGGGTGTTTTGTTTTGTTTTTCATCCCAGTGCACTATTAAATGGATTACATACTAAATCTGTCTTTAATTTATTTTGCTTCATATGTGCAAACATTTAGTAAATTTGCTCATTTTAGCTGTTATCCATAATCTGCCTAATCACAGCTATTCAAAAGGAAGTTCCCCCCTTTTCAGCCACTACGAAAAAGCCACTTTCACAAAATCCTCTCTTATTTTAAGTGCACAGATGTAGCTCATTCATTCCTCTCGCTGGTCACAGCCCATTTACTTTTCAGCCATGGGCTTGCTGCTAATGAGATAAGAAAAACTGACACCAGATGATCTCCAGGTAAATGCATACTAATCATGCCATAACAAATCTGTTATTGTTATCCATTATTATCAGAATTAGTAAGAGAACAACTGTGGGCTCTCTTGTCTTCAAAGATGGAGTCCTGTTGAAAGTTCTTTCTGTTTCAACAATGAAATCAATGGAATGGTCACTTCTGGGTTTTCGGCGTTCGGGAGCCAAAACGTTCAGGAACTAAGCAGTTTGAACTAAGGTGTTCAAAAACCAAGGTACAACTGAAAATGGTCTGTATTCGGATTCTTTTCATAAGAAATTATACGGCAGTGAGAAACAACTACACTGGTACCTTGGTTCTCAAACGCCTTGGTTCTCAAACACTTTGGTTCTCAAACGACAAAAACCTGGAAGTAAGTGTTCCAGTTTTCGAATGTTTTTCGGAAGCCGAACGCCCAATGCGGCTGTCGGCTATTGTTTCTGGGGCGCCTGCACCAATCAGAAGCTGGGTCTTGGTTTTCGAACATTTTGGAAGTCAAACGGACTTCCAGAACAGATTCGTTTGGCGCTTTTGTTCTTGCTATTTATTTTGCGTTTTTGTTTTTGAGGCTTTTTGAGTTAATGTGTTTTTGTGACTTTGGGGAACCCAGTTCAGCTACTGATTGATTGTTTGACTGTGTGACTGCAGAAATGGATAAAAGCCCCCCATCCAAACAATGACTATCATCAGTGCAGTGAAGGGGAAAAAATTTTCATTTTCATCATCTACAATACTGTCTTATTTATTTTATAGTGCAGTACATTGATTATTGCTTTCATTTTATGGATAAATGGTCTCGTTAGACAATTCATGTTAAATTGCTGTTTTAGGGGTTGCTTTTAAAAGTCTGGAACAGATTTATCGGTGATGCACTACTTTCTATGGGAAAGCGCTCCTTGGTTTTGGAACGCTTTTTTTTTGGAATGGACTTCTGGAATGTATTAAGTTTGAGAAAGCCTCTCCTCCTTACAGAGGGGAGGAGTTGTGAGCAGGCGCCGTTTCCCGCTTTGGCAGGGGGCGTTCCAGCCCCCTGCCCAGCTGGCCTGGCTGCTGCGCCACGCCCCCAGGTAGCCAACCAACCAGGTGGAGGCTTGGGGGCGGGGTTTTGCCACTCAAACGTGGCCGCGGCAGCACTTCCCTTTCATTCTGCTGCTGGTTTTCGTCAGATCACCCACCCACCCTCCCTTTAGTTCACTGCTTGGCTCTTGACATTGCTATGGACCTGTGGTTGGTTGCCTTGGTTGTCCAAGGGGCGTGGTAGGAATTTTTATCCAACTGGCAAATTGGCACCGACCACTTGGTTTTTCGCCTACCTCGTAGCAAATCGCCACAACTTTTAGGTATTGGCGGTTAGGCATTGGAATATGTTTGTGTATTGGAGGGCAGGGTGTGGCCATCACCCTCCACTTTATGGGTATTCCGGTAAAGGAATCCGGCAGTCGTGGATCCTGTCTGACGCCCTTGCTAGTGGCTAGGGCTATGGCACGACCCCCGGTGACATCAGGGGGAGCTTTCAGTTGTATTTGCATCAACAGGCTCCTCCCACTGGTGGTTAACCCTTGTTAGACTCACCCCTCCCAGAGGGGGTGGAGTCATGCTCTGTTGTTTTATCCAATGCCTAAGCCAATACCTCTCACATGCTGTAATCAATAATGTGGCCTTTTTTAGCCCATTAACCTAATATACTGTGTCCATATGTCTTTCTTATCCCCAAGCAGGTGGGGGGTCCTTGAATCACAACCAAGGTACCACTGTAATTGATCGATCGTATTTATTCTCCACCTTTTACTCCAAGGAACTCAAGGTGGAATATCTGGCTCCTTCCCTGCCCCACCCCCCCAATTAATTAATCCCCACAGCAATCCTAAGAGGCAGTG